GTCCTTGGGTCCTTCCTGGGTCTGTTGTCGCGCAGGCCGGGAGCTCCCGCGCAGGCCGGGAGCTCGCGCGCACGCCGCCGGGTCCTTTCCACATCTTAATTGTCACGAGGAACCACTATTATCAGATTCCAGTGAGAACTGACAGACAATATATAGGCACATGCTGGTCTAGAGATACATGTACATAAAATTTTCTAAATCAAAGAGGTATCACATAGAATAGTCTGAGTCTATATTTTTAGCATAAGGAAGTATCTTAAGTAATTCACGGAAAGAGAAATAAAAATGTCTGGTAATGCTGAAAAGATACTCAGCATCACCCAATGGAAAAATATAAATTAAACACTGAAATACAGTGTTTTATCAATGAAGGAGACAGAGGTGAAGGCTGGTAATTAATATGCAGTATTAAGGAAGGAGGAAAGCGAAATTACATTTAAATCATACTCAGTGATAAACGGTTTACAAACTCAGCCACTTTCCGAGTTTGGTTGACCAAGAGATAAAATAAATATAGGAAATTTTGTCTTGAGACTGGGTATTTGGGGAACATAATACAAATTATGTACTTTTTACAAAAGTAGTTGGGTGTGGTGGTGTACACCTGCAATCCCAGCACTGTGGAAGTCTGAGGCAGGAGAACTGGTAATTAGAGTGCACCTGGCCAATCCAGTGACTTAGCAAGACCCCGTCTCAAAATCAAAAATAGAAAAGGCTTGGGGATGTAGCTCAGCATGAGGACCCTGGGCTCAACCCCCAGAACTGCAAAATGAAACAAAACAAAACAACGGGCAATAGCAAAACATGCATTCTTTAGTCCAAATCTTTTGAAATATTTGTAACTTGCAATGCCACGTAACAAAAGACGTCTGACACAAACCAAGTTCTGTTCTCTATGACAACTCAAAAGTTGTTGGGGATAGAGTAAGTAAATATTAGGAAAATGGTCAACACTAAAAAGTTTTGAGAATGTTTCACTCCTGCAGGGACCGAGGACAGGATAGGAATGTATGGCAAAGAGCATTACTGAGAATAACTGCACCCCACTTCTGCCCTCAGTTTTTTAATATCTTGCTTGCGTGTGACAGCCCCTCCTCTTGTATTTCTTCATCTTGCTTTCATTGAAGAGTAACCGTACTTTAAAACCTTGTCGATAAACCCAGAGAATCGACAGGCTATGGCAAAAACTTTTATTTGGTCCCAGGAGGTGCTCAGCAAAGCTTGTTATGTGGGATGACGGATGGGTGGGAGGGTGGATGTACAGATAAAGAACAATTTAGTGTAGTGGAAAATGCTTGGGTGTTTAATAAGAAATCATATATGATTTTTTCCAACACAATTACATAGCTCCTAGAGACCCCCTTGATGATTTTACCACTCTGTGTCAATACTTTTCTTTTAATTTAAGCAATTTAGTGACCAAGGTGAGAATGAACTGCAGGATAGCAGCTTCAAATTCTGGCACATGCTGTAGTGTGTATTCAGCAGACAACTGCTGTTGATGGTGTGACGAAAGTATGGATGCATGCCAATTGTGTTAGCAGCTGCATTGTATTTCTTTTTTCAATTCAAATTACAAAGTACCTTTGCCAGACTCTGCTTTACTAACCAGGGTACCTTATCTCCTTCATTATTGAGCCCTACACAGAGGAGATGCGACAAGACTCAGCTCTGCAGATACTGAGAAAGGTCCTTAGTAAGGCAAGGAATCCTTTCATTATGGAAATTGCCTCAAATTCTACCAGGCTATGAATCTACTAAGCTTCCTCACCTTGTGCATGGCAAATTTCATCTGGGAGTTGCTTGAGCAAATTGTGTCGGCAGTCAAGAACCTCCAACTTAGGCATTGACCCCAAGGATGCCGGCAGGTACTCCAGAAGATTATTCTCTATATACAGCTCTTTAAGACTCTGCAATAACATGACAGTGTACCATAGTGCTACCTTAATGATTCTTATCTTGATAAATGAATCGTAATAACTAAAGTCTATGGGCAAACCATGCATTGGGATAGAAGGTAAAACATTTGAAAGACTAGAATCAAGGAATGCAATTATTTTTAATAAAGCCATTAAATTTGTTTTTCATTTATGCAGGGAAAAGAGAATATAATAACTTTTTTCTTTTAGAACTTTATGAAAAAATAATTTGGGTTCTTTAACTGCAGTTACCAGTTGCTTCTTTTAACAGCCACGGTTGCTACAGAACTATAATGGCTTCAACTATTAAGCCAACATCATATCCAAGCAGAAGTAGTCAAAACACACAGACAATAGTTAAAATGTAACTATTTTTAACTTATAGGGCAAAAGTTTAATGTTTACATTTAGCCCTAGGTTTGTGGTAATGAGCAAGAGAATCAAAAGTATGCTGTGCATGTAGGGCAAAGGGGTGAAGAATTAGGAATAAGACCCATGTGTCTTACTGAGAATTGCCTGTGTTGTACATACTATTGCTTGGTTCTATAACTGGGAATTACATAGTAGCACACATCTACTTTATCATTATCAAGAGGACCATAACAAGAAAATGAAAAAAATTACAGTTCTCAGAAAATTTACAGTTCTCTAAAGACACATTAGTAAGGCTATGTTAAATGCAGTTACCTTGTTGCTTTGCTACAACTCAACACAGTGCTACTGATGATGGATTCACCACCAGCATGAACCTGGTGCAACGTGATGTGCCCACCCCGAGCAGGGAAGGAGGTCACTGTGCACAGAATGCAGGCTCCCAGAAATGTTACCCATACAGTACTTCAATTGCAGAATAGCATAGTTTTCCAAGGGCTACTTATGAAAAATGGGAAGTAACTGGAAGGAAGTGTGACTCAATTTCTACAAATGAAACGTGAAAAACACACAGTGGGAAAATATGGCATGACATATCTAACAGCACTCACCACTGGATGGGGCGGATAGTTGAGAGGCTGAGGCAGAAGGATCACAAATTTAAGCCCAGCCTAGGCAACATTTAATAAGACCCTATCTCAAAATAAAAAATGAAAAAGAACTGGGGATATAGCTCAGTGGTTCAGCATTTGCCTAGCCTGTACATGGTCCTGGATTCAATCCCCGGTACCACTAACGAACAAACAAACAAACAAACCAAAAAAACCACTGCAAGTATATAAAATGTTGTGAGGTTGTTCAGTCACAGTGGAAGCTTTAAAATATAAAGGTGACTGCTTGTTGTTAATTGAGACCCTAAGATGGATGGTTTCACATCCAGTCTGTTTCACACTTCCTGCTCTTTCAATGCCAGCCAAGTTACAGGATCAGTGGCTTGTGCTTTGTGGAGGAGGCTTACCTGAAGCTTCCCAATCTGTTCTGGAACACAGCTAAGCTTGGATCCCTGGTCTTGCCCAATGTATAATTTCTCCAGAGATGCTAAAGAAAATATTTCCTCTGGGAAGGAAAGGAACTTATTTCCCGTCAGTCCAAAGATCCTCAGTTTTGAAAGCAAGTTCAACTCTGAAGGCAACTAGAAGCATTCCAAAGGTAAGTTTCAGGTTGATTGAACAGTCAGAAAATAAATTGGGGTTTTGGTTTGGAGGCAGATGTCTAAGCAAAAAGAAAGCAATTAGTTTCTCCTACTGACAAAAAGCCTGCACATAAGTTTATATATATGGACTGGTTCTACTTTTTTCCTGCCACTTCTCTTTTTACTTGCACTACTTTAGATTAGAGCAATTTTAACTGCCTTTTTTATGAACTTTCACATAAGAGATGTTTGACACTATTGAAAAAGTGCTCATGATGCGTTATATTGCAATAAAAATAGTCAAAATAAATTCAGATCCACCCTTCACCTTCATAGGTTTCAACTTAGCAAGCTCGAAAAGTCAGTTGAAATCTTAGTTGGAAGCAAACATATGTTCAGGTCATTTCATTTTTTTTTTTGTTTTTTGTGTTTTGTTTTGTTTTTTGTACTGGGGATTGAACTCAGGTCCTTGCACTTGTCTGGCAGGTGGCAGTACCACTGAGCTAAATCCCTGGCCCTGTTTAGGTCATTTCTAATTGGAGTGTTTAATGAAGATGGTTATATTGTTTTGTTGCTGTTCCCTCCAGTGAATATCCAAACTCGGGTGCTTTATGTGGATTCTGGGTAGGTATTTCACAGACTGCCAGGCTGTAGGGGCTGAGTGGCCTTGAGAAAGTTCTCTATTCCAACCCTTTATTACAGTGGCTTAGTATGTTCTGTTCAAGCCATTTGACTCTTCATTACTCACCATCTCCTGGAAGGAAAAGCCAGTTGCCTTCCATGAATCCCCTTAATGATGCAATTTCCTTTGGTCAAGTCATAATCTATCACTATTATGTTTCACCTATTGTTCTCTTCCTGGCCCTCTGGAATCACATGGGGAAAAAAATCTCATTCTTCACATATACAACACAAATGCTCTATCAGTTGTGTAACAGAGATGCCTTATATTCTTGTTAGAAAGAGAAAAACCTCCCTATATATTTCAACAGCTTAACTCATGCATTTCTCTATTTTGTTTTATCTCTAATCAGGAAATCCCTCTTCACAGTTTCCTGCTGTAGTACTTTGGCATTCTTCACATCCATTCCCTAAAACTCCAATTTACTTTCCACTCCGGTTAAACTTCAGCTCTCTCAGCCACCCCGCCTTACATCTCTCCATATCTGGATCAAAGAGACAAATCACTGGATAATTGGTCAGTCGGAGGTGGAGACAAACAGAAAGCCCACCATGTGAGCACTGCATCAGTAAAAGTTTCATAGAATTGCACTTTTCCCTGTTTTTGTGTTAGTGCTCTTTTTCCTAAAAAATATTATAGGCTGTTTCCAGTTTTAGTATTTTATGAAAAATCGTATCAAGTCAACTCCAGAGAAGATTATGTTTAAGCTTTTCTCCTTGGCTATTTCAAGCTTCATTTTTTTGAGACAAGGTCTCACTGTATAATTCAGGCTGGCCCTGAATGCACGATAGAGCCCAGACTGGCCTTGTACTCACAGTGATCCTCGGGCCTCAGCTTCTGGAGTGCTGGAATCACACGCCTGCACCACCACACCCAGTGCCAAAATTCCTTATCAGACCGTTCGTTAGATCCCATCACTACTGTATGAAACATCTGCCTTCAGTGCAGACCAAATCAGTGGGGAAAGTTTTCAATCTAGTTACTTCATTACTGCTGTTTACTTAATCTATAGATTTAACTTTTCTTTCTTCAAAGCCTATTTGAATGTTCAAGGAGTATTTTCAGGATATTCAAGATCCAATATTTGATTTCATTATGGTCCTATTAATGTAAAACTGAAATAAATCAGGACAGATGGAGAATCTGCAGAGCATCAATTAGGGGACAATTATTGCTAACACTATAAACAGAACTTGTGGCGTTTATCAGGATGTTCCCCCAAAGTTTCATGTGCTCATGGGTGGGACTTTGGGGAGGTGACTGGATCATGGGGGTTTAATACCCATCGTGGGATTAGTCCATTGATGAGTTTATAGCTAACTAATGTTGGGAGGTAAAGCCTGGTGGGAGTAGGCTACTGGGGGTGAGGCCTGGAAGAGTTTCTCCTCAGGATGTGCCTCCCTTTCTCCTCCCTTGATTTCTCTCTTTGCTCCCTGCTGCCAAGTCACGAAGGTACTTTTTTTTCCTCTGCCATGCCCCTCAGTCACGCTGCCCTGCCTTGGAGCCAGCTGACTATGGACTGAAATCTCTACCTGGAGTGATCCAAAATAAACCTTTCCTCCTTTAAATTGTGGATGTCAGGAATTGAGTCTCAGCGATGAGAAAGTAACTAAGGCAGATATATAACCATTCTGATGTTGAATGTACTACTTTGGTTTTCTCCTTTAATATAAATATACTATACAAATAAAACCTGTCTCAGTACACATTGAAAGTCAGCTAGTTTTGTGTCCACCTACGTGAGGAGAAACTAAGAGCCAGGTTTCAAGAGCCATAAACCCATCAGTTGAATTTTTAGGGTAGGAGAGATAAGGAGCTGATTTAAGACTGTTACTTTATCTCCTTGCTGAGACAAAACCTGACAACCCAAAGTTAGAGGGGAAGGGGTTTATTTGGCTTACAGTTCATAGAGGTTTCAGTCCATTGTTGGCTGGCTCCAAGGCAGGGAAGGCAAACAGACAGAGGAGAAACAACATGGTGCACACCAGGTAGCAAAGGTAACAAGAGGAGGACTTAACAGCATCTCCCTCCCCTTTTATTTTATTCAAACTCCTTAGGGCGGGCAGCACTCACACCCTTAATCCTAGTGCCCCTGAGCCTAGCACTGCATCAAGAATCAATTCCAGCTTCACGCATTCTAGATCAAGCCTATGACCACATGAGGCTTTGGGGAGACATCTAGACCCAAACCATAAGAAAGACCACTGTTAGCAGGAGAAAAATGCACTTGAGGTTACAGGAGGTGTTAGCCTAAGAGGAAACTGAGGAGGAAGGACAAAAGCCCATATGCACAAAACCATCAGAATAACTCAAGAATAAAAACAATGGTGCATCTAGATTATCACATTCATTATAAAAATATTTAACATGTCTTCAACATCAGTGTGGTTTGACTTGCGGTAAAAATTGGAATTAGATTAGTTAGATTAAAATTACTTTTAGGAAAAGATTAGGCATAACTCGTGGTCTGACTAGAATTAGGTCAATGTGTTAACCTTCCCAAGTGTACCTTATATTTTGAGTCTTTTTCTCCAGTTATGGAATGAAAGGCTTTGTCCACTAACAGTATTTCTTACGGCAGGGGTGGAGTAGTGGAAGAAGGGCTTTCATGCCATCATGAAAATCCTCCAGGGTAGGTTACGACCTCAGTAGAGATTAAGTCCTAGATTCCTTTTCTAAATTTTTACGTTACCATCAAAAATTTTACTTCCTGAAATGCAGTTGTAAAGCCCCATAGCAATTAGGAAGAAACAAAAACATCTAGAAATTATAAATCAAATAAAACCTATTTAAAATATAAGCCTTTACAGCCCAGACTTTTATAATGCATAGTAAATATATGAGACTGGTATTCATGGCCAGGAAAAGCACACTATTATCTGGTTACAGTTGTTGATTTCTAAATCTCCCTGTTCTCCCTCTAGAGTTATCTTTTGCTTTAAATAGCAGTAATTTTCAAGTATTAAAAATAATTAAGAAACAAGGCGGGTGTGACTTGGAAGGTTGAGGCAGGAGGATCATGAATTTGAGGGCAGCCTGGGGCCTGGACCACATAATAAGACCCTGTTTCAAACAACTCCCCCAAAATTGCATAAATTTTAAAATAAAATATTACAATTAAAATTAGGTTCCTCTATGATCCCCTCCCCATTTCCCCACTTTATTGACTTTCTTCTTCCCAGCGGTAGCCAGCCACCATCAGCAATTTAGTGAATTTTCCTCCAATTCATATTTTTACACTTTTATTACATATGAATATATCCATAAAATATATGGTATGTAGGTATTTATATATGTTATTTCATGTGATTTAAAAATGAATAAATGGTTTCCTAAGATCCTGAAATCTGGTGTTTTGTTTGTTTTTTTGCTTTGATACCGGGGATTGAACTCAGGTCCTCGTGGTTGTGAGGCAGGCAGCAGAACCGCTAAGCTAAATCCCTCGCCCTGGTGCTTTTTCTTTTTAAGAAACATCACCATTTGGAGATCTATCCACACTGGCCTACTCCAATGCACTTCAGTTATTAAGGGGCATTCTCTCTTATAAGCATAGCCTAGTTTATTTTCCCACTTCCCTGCTGACTTTGATTGCCTCCCATACTTCACAATCATCGTCAGCACTGCAGTGACCAGGCTGAACATGCAAGCCTGCATCCATGCAGACAGCATCTCTAGGAACAAATCTATTTCCGCAGTTTCCTATGAATGGAACATTAAGGCCCAAGGCATTTGTGTCAGGAAAACCTGCTGGGAAGGAAAGTGGTCTCGGTTAAGAATATAGACCTGGTTCTCCATTGTTGGTGGGAGTGCAGACAGCTGCAACCACTATGGAAATCAATATGGAGATACCTCAAAGAGCTGGGACTAGAGGTTCCATTTGACCCAGCCATCCCTCTGCCGGGTATCTTTCCAAAAGAATTGAAAGAATCATACCACAGTGATATATGCGCACCTATGTTTATAGTGGCACAGTTTGTAATAGCTAAAATTTGGAAACAGCCCATTTGCCCATCAGTTGAAGACTGGATAAAGAAGATGTGGTTTGTCTATAAAATGGAATACTACTCAGCCATAAAGAATGAGAAATTAGAGTTATTCATAGGAAAATAGATACATATTGAGGATATACTCCTAAGTAAAATAAATAAGTCACACATGGGTAAATACCAAATAGTTTCTCTGGTGTGAAAAACTACAATAGTACATAAGATCCTAATGAGATAATTGGCAATGTGAAATAGGAAGAAAAGGGTTAAAGGTGTAGGAAAAGTGGGAAGGGTAGGGGAAAGGTAATAAGGGAAAAAGTATGAGAAAATGAAACGATGGAAATAAAGTGTTGTAAATGGGGAGGGGAGAAGGGCGTGAAGTGAGGACAGGGACAAGGGGAAAAAATGAGAACCAAGACCTGTCATGTAATGGTAGAAGATCCCAATGATGAATGTAACTGTACTGTATACCTAGAATGTACCAGTAAACTCAATGAGAGAGAAAAAAAAGAATATAGACCTGGGGGCCTGGGATTTAGCTCAGTGGTGCCACTGCCTACCTCGCAAGCACAAGGACCCAAGTTTGATCCCCGGTACCAAATTTAAAGAAAAGAAAAACAACATAGACCTGGATACCCAGCAGCTCTGGGCTGGAATCCTGGCTCTGTTACTTATAGGCCATGTGGCTTTGGACAAGTTAGTTCAGGTCCCTGTCCACCATTTTCATCATAAAGCATTGAGGAGAAAATAATAATAATAATAATAATAAGAAGAAGAAGAAGAAGAAGAAGAAGAAGAAAAGAAGAAGAAGAAGAAGAAGAAGAAGAAGAAGAAGAAGAGGAGGAGGAGGAGAAGAAGATAAGTGAGATAATCCATGTGGAACATTTAACTCAGTGCAGGAAGATAGACAAATGATCTAAAAAGCCCAAGTAAACACTGGCTACTATGTATGATTACTATTGCTATTTAGGAGGAAAGAAAGTAATCAAATTTTAAATGTACACCCTGGTATACACTGAAAACTCTGGCTTTTTGCCTATAAAGTCAGTTCAAATTCCTGTTTGTTTTGTGCTACTGGGGATCAAATCCAGGGTGCTCCCCAGTGCCTCTCCTTTAATTTTTTTTTTTTTTTTTTTTGAAACAGGATTTCATTAAACAGCCCAGGTGGAACTTCAGTTTGCAATCCTCTTGCCTCAGCTTCCCAAAGTGCTGGGGTTATAGGCGTGGCTTACTGGCCCGTTTAAACAGAATTATACCAATCCAGGGCAGGAAGGACACTCGGGAATCTGAGCATAGTGACATCGGGGGCGGTTTGGAGGGGCGGTGAGGTGGGGTCAGTACCTGCACTATTTTATTATCATCCAGCGCCAGGATTTCCAGGTTCTTCAGCGCACAGATCTGGGAGGGGAAGTGGTCCAGATGGTTCTGGCTGAGATCCAGGAAGCGCAGGTTGAGCAGCTGTTGGAAGGAGCTCCGAAGAGCCCTCAGGCCGGTGTTGTGAAGGTAAAGCAGGTGCAGGGAGGGCCACCTGCAGACGAGGCGCGGCACTTTCTCCAGGGGGTTCCCACTCAGCCCAATTTCCGTCATCTCCGTGAGCTCTCCAAGAGCGCATGGCATGGACTCGAGGAGGTTGTGGGATAAATCGAGCACGGTCATTTTGCTACACTGGCATAGTGACTTGGGCAGAGAGGACAGGTTGTTATGAGCCGCGTAGAACTTCTGCAGCCTGGTCAGATCCCCAGTTTCTTCTGGGAGGGCACTGAGTTTGTTCTCATCCAGATCAATGATCTCCAGGTTGTGGAGAACACAGAGCTCCTGAGGAAAAACCTTGAACTGGTTTTGCTTCAGGTAGATCTCCCTCAGTTTGACCTGGTTAACTATTTCCTTGGGCAGAGATTTTAGGCGGTTTCCGGACAGTCCGAGCAGCTCAAGGTGGTGCAGGTTTTTACAGATCACCGCGGGAATCTCCTCCAGGTCGAGGTGGTAGAGCCGCAGCTCTCTCAGGGCTCGCAGGCTACTGAGGACCTGGAGGGAGGAGGGCACCAGGGGGTTGCTGCTCAAGTCCAGGCCCTCCAGGTTGCTCAGGGCCCCCAGCTCAGGGCATAGCCCCCTCAGGTTGTTCTTGTCCAAGTAGAGGATCCTGATACTCGTTAAATGCTGAATATCCTGGGGAATTTCTTTAATGCCATTATTTTCCAAATGCACCTCCTCTAATTCTTTTAATGCCAAGATCTCAAGTGGAATGGCTGTCAGGCTCTGATTAGAAGCATCGATGAAAAATGTTCTATCAGTGACGTGTGGTTGATCGCTTTCCTGATGAATTTTAGGTGAGTGTTCTGCTTGTAGTATGTCCTCTGACATTATTTTGAAGGAAAGTTCAAATATTCAAAATCTGAAATACTCTGAAAAGACAGAAAAAAATCAGAACCCCTCTGATACCAAATTTATTAATCTTGGACTGGGGATTTAGCTCAGCGGTTTGGTGGCCTGCCTTGCAAGCGCAAGGACCCGAGTTCAAGCCCCAGTACAAAAAATAAAAAATAAAAAAAAAAACAAACAAAAAATGTATTAATCTTAAGAAAGAAAAAAATACAGTAAAATCTGGTTGACTAAATTTAGTACTTGAAATTATTTTACCAATTTTATGTTCCATGTTAGGATAAGAATTAAGGTATGAGCTCCTCTTTCTCCTGAGGGGTTCACGCACGCACACACACACACACACACACACGTGTGCACACAAACAGTCCAATTACAGTTTTCAAAAATCCTTATTTTGATCCTATTTCCAGGTATGCAGTAGAAGCTTGCAAAAGATCATTGCTCTTAACATAACCCTGAGAAAACAGGAGAAAAATATTCATATTTTGAAGTATACCTATTTTCCCTTAAAATCGCCAGAGAGTTATACATGTAGATGTAGGCCTAAAGAACTCCAAAAGGACAAAATTCGAGACATGGACCAGTCTTGTCCCCAGGAGAGGCCAGTGAGTGGGCCCTGTCATGCCTGGTAGCATGTTTAAGTTTGGGGCTGTCAGGCCGAGAAGAAAGCCTTCCATGGATATAGGCAAAGGAATTTCTGGGACAAGGAGAACCAGCCAAACATTGGCCAGGACAGTTAGAATCTTGAGTAGCCTCGATGCAGAGTCAGTTCTCCCCACTGGCGTTTTCCTCCTTTAGACTCTGACTTGACAAGTGGCCTTAGGGAAAGTTGCAGGCTGGACTCAGAGCGGAGAGAGAGGGTTTATAGTCTCCAGGTCTTAGATCCCTAAGGGCTGAAGGATGGGTCAAAATCCCCCTTAAACAAGTGTTCGAAAATGCAGCAGGGCTAGGGATGTAGCTTAGAGATAGAGCACTTGCCTAGATGCTCTAAATCCTGGATTTGATTCCTAGCACTGTAAAATGAGTAAGTTAACTAAAATTGCAGTGACTTGAACTGAAGCTGCAATCCAGAAAGAGACTTAAAACCTAGAAAACTGGAGATATAAATTATGTCTGTGGATTAGAATATTCAATAATGTTAAGATCCCTATTGTACCCCAACTTGATTATGGTTTTAATGTAATCTCAGTCTCAGCAAACTTTTCTCATAGAAGTTGACAAGCTTTTTATATGCACATGTGGAAGAATAATTGTGAATAATAAAAAAACAGCAGACTTACACTGCTATACTTATGTATTATAAGGCCAAGGTGTTAATGTGATATTTCAGAAGAATTAGGTCTTTAATGTGTGTCCCACATCTAAAGTCTCGGGGGAGGCAGAGACTGTAGCAAGGATTGTAGCAAGCCTGGCCTTTTTGGGATGGGGCTGTCTTGCATCACAGAGACGCAGCCCCAGAACACAGCGGGTGCATTTCAAGCCTCACAGATGCCAGCATCGTTACTGCTTCCTGCAACACAAAATATGGGTTCAGATCCTTGTTACTTCTTGCCTAGTTTCAGAAAGAGTGTTGAAACAGTGTTGCATTCTGTTATGTAAAGAAAAAAAAACAAAACAAAACATTTAGCAATAGTTAAACTATGTCTTCAACATTTTCGTCATTTAGTCATCAGGCAGATTAAATTAATCTTACTGTTCAATCCTGTAGGACAAAAATCTCCAGTTTCCTGAATACAAATTTCTTAAAATGCCAAAGACTTCTATCCTAGATATCGTGGTACCTCGGTTCATGAATATATCTCAGTTCGTCCAAGGTTCTGGCTGCAACTGATTTGAAGTAAGTATTGTTCACAAGAAGCCTGGCTTTTGCCTACAGTCCCAGCTACTTGGGAGGCTGAAGTAGAAAGATCACAGGTTCAAGGCCAGCCTGGGCAAGTTAGTGACATCCTGTCTCAAAATGAAAAATAAAAATAAAAAAGAAGGGCTAAAAGTGTGTACCTTAGGGTAAAGCACTTGTCTAGTACATACAAGGCCCTGGGTTCAATCCCAGTACTAGAAAATAAATAAGGTAGATCCAAAAAAACCCTAGCTGTTATTAAAATCATTCTCTTAGGGTGTGAAGCTTCAGACTCAACTTTCTTGTGCAGCCTCCAAAAAGAGTTCACCTGGGGAAATTCACATGAACTAGCCACCAAAATGAGGGCTCACACCAGTGTCTTGGGCTTCTAGACATAAGAAAGGACTTATTTCTCTTAAGATTCATCTTGGTGAGAGGCTATCTGGTCACTTTAAATATGTCTCCCACACGTTTCTGAAACCAGTGTGGCAGTCTTCACACACACAGACACACACAGTCCCCAACATATAATGGTTTAGTTTACAATTTTTAACTTTATGATGATGTGAAAGCAATACACATTTTGAGTCTTTCTCTGAGCTAATGCTATGTAATCTGATACTCTCTCACAATGCTAGGCACTGCAATAAACCGCAGCTCCAAGCCAGCCATATGATCCTCTGGGTAAACAACCAATATTCCACAATCTACTGTGGAATCTACTGTGTTGCCAGGCTCTGATGTTTGGTAGATTAGGCGTGTGAAATGCACTTTTGACTTCAGGATATTTTCAATGTATGATAGGTTTATCAAGATGTAACCCTATTGTAAATTGAGGGTCATCTGTACATCATGCTTGGGTTTAATAAAAAAAGATTGTAAAGCCAAGATTTAGATAAAAATTTTGCCAGGGGCTGGGGACTTAGCTCAGTGGCACTGCGCTTAAGTCAGATCCCCAGTATTTAAAAAAAAAAAATTGCCAGTAAATCAGCCAAAATAAATAAAAATGAAGAAAATTCATTCTGAATTAACTACCCCCCGATGTTGTTAATTGAATGTGGTCAAATTAATTTATTACATCCAATATTACCAGGAGGTGGTTTCTAAATGAAATAATTGTTGCATCTTCACTTCAAGAAGCCAAGATTTGGATAATTTAATAATTAGCTCTTCTTTGAATAACTCTAATCATTGAGAAACAACTAGAAACCTGATCAGTTCTCTCAAATGTGCAGTGAGTGCTGCTACTTTTGTTTTCAAGTCTGATTCTCAGGCCCAGATAGGGACTCAGTGTGTAAAATCTTGCCTGCCCTTTGGTAACATTACACTTTACTTTGATAAACCAATAAATAAAACAAAACAAAACAAAAAAAGCTTTTGGGAAACTATAAAATCCCTTGAGACAATCTTCCATATAAACTTCACATTTGAGTGGAAATCTTTATATGCAAGCAATTTAGATTTTTCAGCCAAGTGTGAGAAAATGTCAAAGACTCAGCCAATAATAAAAGTGGAATATTGAGAGCCTTGACACGTTTCCTTCTTAAGAGAAATAGTAGGAGGGGGGGGAAAGACTCTGTAATCTTACAAAATGCTTTGAAATGTTCCTACAATTTGATTAAGCTGAGGCCCAGTAACACTTCATTAGCTGCCTTAGTGGAATATCCTTTGTCACAACTGAGCAGTGTGCCCCATCACCGAATTGTTCATCTAAATATTGGCTTCTCAAGAATTTTATGTAGACTCAAAAGTATCATTTTATCCATTGTCTCTTTTATTAGTACCTGCTTGCAGTACATAATGATTACTTTCATTGTGGGGAGTTGATACGTGTATATAGTATACCTTAGTTCTTTTTTAATTTCCTCACCCTCCCTCACTCTTCCTTTCCTCCATCTTTTGGTCCCCCTCTATTTTATAAAACTTCTATCTCCCTGTTTCCTATTATCTATCTTTTATTTTGTACTTTCATTTATTTATATTTTGGATTTCTCGTGTAAGATAGACCATGTGATATTTAAGCTGTTTCTGATTTATTTCACTTAGCATTATGGTCTCAAGGCGCACCCATTTTCCTAAAAATTACAACTTTATCCTTCTTTATGGCAGAATAGTACTCCATGGTGTATAAATACCACTTTTTCTTTATCCGTTCATCTGTTGACGGACATATAGGCTGCTTCTAATATTTAGCTATTATGAGTTGTGCTACTATAAACATGGGTGTGCATGTTCCACTGTAATGTAATGTCTGAAATTCTTTGGGGAAGCTACCTAGAAGGGAAATAGCTGGGATGAGAGAGATTTATTTTATCCATTTAAAAAAGTATTCTACTCTTCATTCCCTGACCCATACCACCTCTTTAATAATTCAAAACTTTATTTATTTTTTAAATTTTTGCCATTTCAAACTGTTAATGAGCAAGAAGGTTTGGGGTACTAGTCCACTTTCTCATCAGAAAACACGAATGTGAAGTTTTCGTATGAGTTGCTCACCTTTTATTCATGGACCAAAACATTTAAAAATGACAGAACACTAATTTTGTGACCTGCATATTCAATACCCAAATGATGAGCCTGGATAACACCTGAGGCCAGCACTTTATATCTTCCTCAGAAAATTCAGCCAGGAATTTACGCAGTTCCAGCACTGGGTACCAAAGAAGTTGAGGCAGCTGATAGGAAAAATACAAATAATGGATATGTTAGTATCATTGCCCAGATTCTTTGAGTTCTGTCTCCAAATTATCAGAAAATGTATGCAGACCATACTGAAAATAGGCCGTAAAGTAGCAATTTTTCCGCTTCTGGAAATTGTTAAAGGTGCTTTTCAGGATGAAGGTGCAACATGCTAGGACCTGACCTACAATGACCTATGAGCTTGATCAAACCCAAACTGAGAGGAACCTAAGTAGTCAGGAGCTCTCACAGACTTGGAGTAGAAGTGAGGTGCTGTTGACAGTCTGAACCCCAAACAGGGAGACACTGAATACTCCCCCACTACCCACAAGTTCTCCACCTGGTCCGGCAAGTGGATGTGGCCTTCTTTTCCTGGGCTGCTTAAATCCCTTCACTACAGCCAATCTAGCAGACAGAATTCAGCCATGCTTTCTGTCTCTTTAGAGGTTAATATACAATAATAGGCTTTTTTTGTTTGTTTGTTTGCAAAACCAGTGCCTTAGTATTGGCTCCCATGCTCACCAGACAGCAAGCCCTTGCTTAGTATTATTATCTATATTTTCTTGAAAAATGACTACTTTAAACACCATGCTTTGGGCTTATTAGAAATAATCATTTGAGGCCAGGCATGGTGCTGCACACCTATAATCCCAGCACTTAGAAAGCTAAGGCAGGAGAATCCAGTGTGTTTGAAGCCAGCCTAGGTTACAAATTCAAGGCTGCCTGAACTACATAGTGACACCCTCTCTCAAAAAAATAAATTAATAAATAAATAAAATTAAAATAAATAAAAGTAAAAGAAATAATCATTTGAAAGATATTTCTAGATCTACAAAGCAACAAAGACATTGTCTATTAAGTTATTTATATGAAGATAAATGTACTAAACCTTCCTACAATAAGATGCCAGAAAAATGCCAAATGCTGGCTTTTATTGTCATGCAAGGACTACTAAACCTGAGGTATGTTCTTTCATTCTGTCTTCTAGAAAGTTCAGATTCAAGTTAGACCTCCAGTCACTCCAGATCTTGCACACGGGGCCTCAGAGAATCCACCTGAGCTCCTAGAAGTCAGCTCAATGCCACCTCCCTCCTCCCAGCAATGATTAAGGGGAGGGGACAGGCTTTTTCCAACTACATCCCTCCTCTCCCTGGAAATCACTGGGAGAAAGGAGGAGGAAGTGCTGATGGAAATGAGCTGTACCTGCAGTTAATGTCTTTTGACCACCCTGTTCCATACGCATTTTGACATGTGGATGGCAGTTCTGTGTTACTCTTACTGTTTTGTTTTTCTCTGAGGCAGACGGGGAGAAGAATGCTGTAGGCGCTGTTTGGTTAGGGCAGCCCCTTTCTGTTTCTTCTGTTTTATTAGTCACTCTACATTCTGTGCATTTGTTCCCTTGGAAGAGAATCCCTCCCTGCCCTTGTGCAGCACTAGCGACCGCTTTATCTTGTTCTAGGCAAACCACTTCTCTTGCTTTTGGCGATGGGGACTGAACCCAGGAAGGCTTTGAATCCTCCGCCTTGGACATCCTAGGCCAGTGATCTAATACTGAGCTACCTCTTCTGTCCCCTTTGCTTTCCTGTCTTACTAGTTCCAGATTCTTTAAAGGAAAGGGAAGGCAGATGGGGAATGGAATCTGTCTCACTGTTGCTCTAAAATCCCAAACTGACTCAATTGTTTTTGGGAGCACATAGCTAAATTATTTGCTTTCCATCGCCATTAAGTTTAACCTGGAGAAAGTGATACAGGTGTATGACGTAGGGATGATCTATGGACTTCTAAATAAGCCGAATATGAGGGAAATATAACTCCCAACCAGCTGGATGTCCAGTATGTCGAGTTCATGTCCTCTAAAACAGAAGAATGAATTCTAGGAACAATGCAGTTAAGAATAGGAAGTATTTAGGGCATGGTGGTGCACGCCTGTAATCCCAGCACTCGGGAGGCTGAGGCAGGAGGATCGCTGGGAGTTTGAGACCAGCCTAAGCTACATAGTGAGTTCCAGGTCAGTCTCAAGTACATAGTGAGACCCTGTCTCAAAAAAAAGAATAGGAAGTATTTATTGAAAGACAGGTTCTCCACACCTCCCCTCCCATTGTTTTCTCTTTGCTCTATGGCAATCCCCAAGGCAACCTCACCTTCCTTCCCGCATCCAAACACCACACTGTGATCCCGCTACCCCGTAATACTGCTCCGTCGTCCCCTCCTCTGCCCCCCACCCACCCCTTCCCCCGTCTCAACCCTGCTGTAACTGCCTCAGAGGAGGCTTCCGGGTGGGCGCCTGTCGGATCCTTCCTCCTCCACCTGCTTGGGAGGCTGAAGGGCTCCCGGGCCCCTGCACTCACCAGAGTACCCTCGCCTCGGCAGCACTCACCACAGCGTCTGCCTCTGGGCACCTCGGCCTGTGTTCTGGCCACCTCTCCAGGACGCCCTCCCTGGGGCCCTAGACCCTCACTCCTGCTGACTTCACCCGCGGCTTCCGCGCTGTGCGCACTCTGCGGACCAGGGCTGTGTCACAAATGTCTTTGCAGCCTTGGCCCCCGGCCCAGTCGAGTCCCTCAAACCTCAGGAACCCTGGGTAGGATGACCGAGGAGCCTTCACAGAAGGTGCGGTCACTGCCAGCCCAGCGAGGCCTCGAGGCCCAGACGGGCAGAGCCAGCGCCTGGGCCTCCCCAGCCCCGGCGAGCCGCAGTCACTATGGCAACGCGGACGCCACCTCGGCTGACCGAGCCGAGCGCAGCATGGGGAGCAGAGGCTTGCAGGAGGCCGACCCTGCTGCGGCCCCCACCCGGGCCCCGGCCCAGGCGGGTAAGCGGGGTGAGAAGCAGGTTGCCTTTGGGTGTTCACTGGCCGGACAAACGCTTGCATTGGCTGATTGTAGAAGCTGTAGGCCCCGGGAACGCCAGCTGTGGCCCCAACTCTGGGGCGCCTCAGGCCACCACGCTTTGCCCTTAGAATCTCCTTGAGGGTGTTTCCTGCCTCCTTTTGGTGGAAGCCCCAAGGAGCAGGCCCCAGATGAACAAGAGGATCTTGAGAGGGTTCTGACTTTGCACCTGTGGACCATCTAGGTTTTAAATATTTCCGCACCCGTGAATTCGCTTTAACAAATTGAACAGAGTTTAAACACCATCCCATGAGTTTGGATGTTTACTTGTGTGTTGGTGGATTTGTTATCGCCTGGAGAAGAAGCCTTACTTAATCCTCACTGCACCTGGGACAGGAGTACTATTACTCTTCACCTTTACAGAAAGGGAAATGTAGGCTCTGAGAGTTTAAGTAACTGCTCAGTGACACCCTGGATTCTGAGGAGGGCGTCCAAGAATAGGATGTCCAGTAGTCAGATGTTCCAGATAGAATAGCATCTTTGGGAGGGAACTGCCTCCAAAATAAGTAGGCCTTTTCTTCAGAAAATTTTAAATATGCTGCCAGATGTGGATGAAAAATGAAATTTGGGTTAGATTCTTAACATTTTCCTGTGAGGCTAAATTGTGCCTCTAGTTTTGGCTTTACTACTTGAAGACTGGCTTGAATATAGTATAGGAAACAATGGCACTATAACATACTGACATATAATACAAAGGTGAATTTTAAATCGAAAGAGTAGCAGGAAAATATAACAGAAACTTAAATATCAGAGTACTTAAATCTGTACATAACTAAGAATATTCTTGTAGGCTGGGTGTGGTGGCACATTGCCTGAAATCCCAGCATTTGGGAGGCTGAGGCAGGAGGATTGCTGTGAGTTTGAGGCCAGCCTGGACTATGTAGCAAGAAAAAAAATATATCATTAACTTTCTTTAGCAATATTAGCTTATGGCCAGGGATTTAGCTCAGTGGTTCCACCATTGGCCTCGCAAGCACAAGGCCCCAAGTTCGATCCCCAGTATCAAAACAAACAAACAAAAACAGATATTAGTTTATAATCTAAGATTCTTTACTACCTTCACAAGAACTAGTCATAAATCTGACACATTTCAAGCACCCTGGGCATGGTGTGGACAGCACCAATCTCAGAGAGTCTCAGGGCAACCTTTCCCTTTCTAGTATCAAGGAAAGAAGCCCAGGGGGAGCCCAGTTCCAACTTTTGTTTAGAATCTATTGTATTTGCTTTATTTCCTGGCCAGAGTGCTAACAACGCATTTTTTAGATTTCATTACAGGAGAGCCATGATCACATAAGGCTGGGAAGTACAGTATTCTTATCCTCTCTCCCCAACATGCTTAAGATGAGTAGAAGAGTCTTTGTACACCTGAGAGTTTCAAATGTCTGAGAAGTGTTGCAGCTAGGACTCTGTTTAGCTTTGCCTACTTCAGCACTTCTCACACTTACTTGACTGAAATCCATTCTATATGAACAACTTTGATCATCTTGTCGAGAACATCAGTATTCCACAAAACAGTTTGAGCCTGGGATTTAGCTCAGTGGTTCCACCACTTGCCTCCCAAGCACAAGGACCCGAGTTCCATCCCCGGTACCAAAAAACACACAAAAAAACCCCAAGAAGAAATAGGAAATAGAAGTCTGGGGTGGGTAAAGAGCTTATATAAGCCAGACTTGGTGTGAAGTGCAGCTTGCTGAGAAGAACTGACAGGGTTCTATTCAAAGATGCTAACTTGGGAGTGAGGTACAGAGGGTATCTGAGCAGCCTGTGAGGCTAGGTGATTTTGCAGATACTTTTGGAATTGGAATGTTGGATACGATTGTCTTTTACCTGTAGCTGATTATGCAACTGAGTCACCAGTGTTTGTGACAGTGGCAAGTGTTCGGTCAGTTTGATTTTGTACATGGCCCTCATTAACTGAGTGATTTTGCGCAGACTATTTAATCTTCGGGATGTGATTTTCCTCAGCTACCAGGCCTGGCACATGATGAAGCTAATTTCTCTTTATATCATTTCGAGGTTAGGGTGCTGACTCGAGCCCATGTCTCCCGGTCTCCCTGAGGGTGGGTCTGAGGCCCACAGACTCCAAAAAGCACTTTTCTTCTCTCTCCCACTCCTTTTGCTCCTCTCTACTTCTGGCCTTAATTCTCCTTTTCTCCCCCACTCATACCTTTGAAAGACTTGTAGTTGTTATAGAAAGACAGTTCCTGGAATAATTTACACATGATGATGGATACATTTATTTTTCAGAAGCTTCAGAGTCTATCGCTACTCTCCAGGAAGGTTATTGTAAACTATGTTCAAAAAATTCCCAGAATATTAATCCTTTTATATTGCGTGTACTCCAAAAAGTGGATGAAGAAATTAAAAAGGGGTAAGGAAGACGAAAGTTTTAATACAGCAATAGTGTTGTTTCTTATCTGTGTAAATATCCTGTGCTACTCAGTGATTTTATAGCCACTTGAAAATGCTTGGTAAATGGACCTACCTTTGGACTCAGATAAGGAAGTAGGTGAGAGACCCTGTTGGTAGGACTTAGAGGTGGTGTAAGGACACTGGGAGGAACACGAGACCCGAAGTCCACAAGCCTGGGCTAGCTTGCCTTTAACTCCTGTGAGCTGGGTGCATGAATGCAAATCACTGGAGTTTTCGTTGTTCTTTTCCATAAAGTGGGAATACTTTGTGTGTGAGAGGGAAATCAAGTTGTGCAGACTGTATTAAGGTCCCTTGTAAAGCTTGGAGAATGCCCAGTAGATTTAAATTACCTGGTATCAATGCACTATGTATTTGTAAATCCACTACATACTTGGTTCCAGTAAATGTTATCTGTGATGTTCTTGTATACATGTGAAGAAAAAAACATTTATTTTTTAAAATATTTTTTTTAAAAAAACTAGATTTCTTTCTTTGTATTTCAAGATCTTTTTCTTTTTAAAATTTTAACAGACCCAAAGAAGGCATCACACTGAGCATTGCTGGTAACAATCGCTTAATCCCAGTACAAAGAGTGACAGGTGAAGATTTTTGTATTCTTTCTAAAATTCTAAAGGATCATCCATATATTAATGGTATGTTTAAGAATCAATGCCTCCAGCTTTTCACTTTTCTGATTTTAAGTATTCTTTTAAAGGAATATCCTTTCCTAGCCATACATGTCCTTCTCTGTTCATCTAGGTTTGGATGTTAGATATAACCTCATAAACGATACTGGTGCACACTACGCTGCGAAACTTCTTCAGGTATTACTTTACTACGAAATATTCTTAGGTGTTGGACTCAGTGAGACCATTTTGTCTAATGGCATACACTCACAAAGAGCAGTCATGAGAAACGTCAGGGGTCCAGACAGTGATATTTGTAACACTTGAAATACATGGGAATCCACTTGTACTTGATCTCAGTAGAGCTGGTACCTAGAGCTCCTCATTTTTCACAAATGTGTACGCTGTGGTTAAATATGTAAAGCATGTCCATATTTTATCTGTATTTTTGGTAAAACTGAATATAATCTTTTCCTTCCCTTATATTGCAATTATATTTTTTTAAAGGAGAAAGGTGATTTTTTCTTTAATAGTAGCAAATAAAGCATGTGATTAGCTGACCAGTTTCTAATAATGTGTGTGTAATAGCTTTTGTTCTCTCCTTATAGAAACAACTGTACCTCATTTACTTAAACCTTATGTTTAATGATATTGGGCCTGAAGGTGGAGAACTGCTTGCTAAGGCATTACATGTAAGCATTATGCATCTAAAACTAGCATTTTATTTGAGAATATTAACTTCTGATAGCTTGGAAACAAGAGAATCAAATATTAATATGAGCTTATATTATTTCAATATGGTAGGAATGTATATTTCTTTTACACTTCAGTTGCTTTTAGATATAACTCACATACAGAAAATTTACTTTCTTGGCTGGGTATGGTGGCACACGCCTGTAATCCCAGCACTCGGGAGGCTGAGGCAGGAGAATCGCTGTGAGTTTGAGAACAGCCTGGGATACATAGTGAGTTCCAGGTCGGTCTCAACTTCACAGTGAGACCCTGTCTCAAAAAACCAAAAGCAAAACAAAACAAAAAAAAATTACTTTCTTAAAGTCTTCTGAAACTTAGTGGGAATTTTAAAAGTACATTTAGAGAGCTGGGGATTTAGCTCAGTGGTGCCACCCCTGCCTCACAAGCACAAGGTTCAATCCCTGGTACCCAAACAAAACAAAAACAAAAAAAAATTTAGAATTGTGCAACCATTACCACTGATTTTTTTAAAGAACATTTCCACCTCAAAAATTAGCCCCATATCTATAATTAGCAGTCCTTTTTCATTGTTCTGTCCCTCCAGCCCTCAGTCTCTGATAAACACTAATCAACTTTCCATATATAAATTTGCCTATTCTGGACATATCATATGTATGTGATCATACAATATGTAGCCTTTTGTGACTGATTTAATGTTTTCAGGTTTCATCCATGTTTTAGCATACTTCCTTCATTTTTATTGCTCAATAAATTCCATTTGATGACCTGGGTGGCACCTGCCTGTAATTTCAACTCTTGGGAGGCTGAGGCAGGAAGAATACCTAGAGTTTAAGCCCAGCCTGGGCTACATAGCAAGAACCTGTCTCAAAAAATATTTTGAGACAGTATTTTCAGGAAGTGCAAAATTGTTTTTCCAAAGTGGCTACACCTTTTAACAATTCTTCCAACAATGTATGAGTGTTCCAGTTTCTCGATGTCCTCACCAACTCTTGCCATTGCTGTTTTAATTCAACCATCCTAGTGTGTATGAAAAACACATAAAGTATGTTTTTTGCTTTAATTTACTTACATGATGCTGAGCATTTTCTCATGGATTTCTGGTCAATTTATATATCTCCTTTGGAGAAATGTCTATTCAAATCCTTTGCCCTTTCAAATCGGGTTGTATTTGTTTTGAGATCCTATTATCACCATGTTGCTCAGGTTTGTCTTAACTTCTGGATTCAAGCAACCCTCCTACCTTAGCCTACTACTAGATTACAGGGCTGTGCTCTGTATCTTGTGGGCTGTAAGAATTGTAAGAATTAATATATTCTAAGCGTAAGTCTTTAATCAAATAAATGACTTGCAAACATTTTCTCCCATTTGGAAATTGTTTTTTCACTTACTTGATGTCCTCTGAAGCATAAAAAAAAATCTTTAAAATAAAGCCCAATTTATTTTGTTGCTTCTGCTTTTGGTGTTATATTTAAGAAGGCTTCCCCTAATCCAAAGTCACAAAGATTTACATTTATGTTTTCTTCTAAAAGTTTTATAGCTTTAGTTCCTTTATTTAGTTCTTTCAACCATTTTGAATTAGTTTTGTTTACAAGTCAGTATTTGAACTATACTTTTTTTTTTTTGGTTTTTTTGAGACAGGGTCTCACTATGTAGTTGAGACTGACCTGGAACTCACTACATAGCCCAGGCTGGTCTTGAACTCACAGTGATCCTCCTGCCTCAGCCTCCTGAGTGCTGGGATTACAGGCATGAGCCACCACGCCAGGCTCCAACTGCAGTCTTTTAATATGTGAATTTCTGGTTATCCCAAATGCACTTGTTAAACATCTGTTCTTTGCCTCATTTATTGTCTTGACACCTTTGTCGAAAATTCAGTCGGACACAAATATGAGGGATACTTTGTAATACTCTCGTCTATATTATTAATGTTCTGTCTGTCACTATTTTGAGAGTTCAATACTCAGCACTAGAAAAACAAAAAACAAAATAGGGTGATATGGGCATGAGTGCCAGTGGGTACAAGGTTACCATTGGGGTGGATGAAAAATGTTTTGGAGTTAGCCACAGGTAATGTCTGCACAACACTGTGATCATAACAAGTGTCACAGAATTGTAGACTTTAAAGTGATTAATTTTCTGTGAATTTCACTTCAATAAAAATGGTACAGGCTTCTTGAAAGGCAAATTTACAGTTTTTTCAAGGAAAAATGTTTATTAAAATGTACTTACTGACTGGCTATTGCTTTGGCATCTGTCTCTTGGTCATTTTGTTTTAATTTTAAAAATTTTATTGAAAAAATACAGATAACATTTACCTCTTAAATCAAGTGTACAGGGCCGTGGCATTAAGTACATCTGCAGGGTTGTACAATTTCCCCCGTCCATCTCCACAACTTTGTCATCATGCGAAACTGAAGCTTTGGTCCCATTAACGATTCCCTTTGCCTCTCCCTTCCCAGCCCCCAGTAAACCACTCATATCTGTCTATAAATTTCACTACTCCAGGGATCTCATGTAAGCGGAATCATCATCGTACAGAATTTATCCTTTTGTGAGTGCCTTCTAAGCTATTTAAGTAGATTTTTACCTAAAATGGAGAATTGCTACCTTTAAGGAATATATTCTAATCTATTTCCATGAAAAATGTGAGTCTACAAATAGTAAAATAGCCCCCTAAGTCACTTAGACACTTCTGTGGATTGAAACTTAACTAAGTTTTGATTATTTTCCTTTTCAGAAGAATACAACGTTGAGATACTTAAGAATGACTGGAAATAAGATTGAAAATAAAGGTGGAATGTTTTTTGCTGCAATGTTGCAAATTAACTCATCCTTAGAGAAATTAGATCTGGGTGACTGTGATCTGGTAAGTAAACTGGTTTCTTAGGAAATCAGCACAGAAAAACTCATTTAAGACACCAGGCAAATGACACTCTTATAAATACCTTATCTTTCCTCTACTATCTAAATATCAAGAGAAAAGATGCCCCCCAACCAGGCCATAATAGTACAGTCTGTTAATTAAATCGGAGTAAATACCTAGAAAAACATCGAGTTTAATAAAAATATTCTTAAACTTCTATCCATGGTTTATCTTAACCTGTATGGAATTTCATTTTAATTTAATATTGTTTATTAGTATGTTTCTTTACTTTGAACTATTCCGAAGTATTTATGTTGTACCATAAAAACTTAAAACTGATCATACCAAAAGCTACTTTGAGCCTTCATCTGGCCTGATAATGACAAATATGTTTTTTACATGTCCTTGAAGTCTAGGTTTTGCTTTCTCAAACACGCTTTCCAGTCTTGAGGCCTGAGAAACTTGTCATACAGCCGCAGATATGTGCCAAGTCACCGGGACACAAAAACAGTGGAAATGTGCCAGGAGGCTCTCCGGGGTAGTAGGTTCTGAAAGACTTTGTGAACTGTAAATGCAGCTAGTATGGTTCTGGGAAAGCGTTCTGTAAATATTCATTCCCAACATGTATCAGTCACTTTCCGAGATGCCAAAGATATAACAGTGGACAGATGAGGCCTCTGCTCTTATGAAACTGACATTTTAGTTGGGAAAACATCATGGAAATGGAGAAAAGTGGTGTAAATGCGACCATGCTCTCTGACAACGGGGAGGAGATCATCTGTTTGATAAGACGGTTGCCCGAGACATGAGGAGGTACTGGGCAGGAGTCATGAAGGGTGAGGAAAACCGTCCCGGAAAGGGTTCGTGGCTGCATACACGGTGGATCCACCGTGCACTGACAGTGTTTTCCAAGTGTGGTCTGGGGAGTGGAGAAAGAGGTAATTTTAATACTCATGTATTTATTTTTCACAGAGGTGTTCTGTTAAGGTCAAGTGACTATGCTCTTCCTTTTATGAATGGCACAAAATTTTATTTTAAAATGAATATAAATGAATTAATAGGAAAGTGTTAAGCAAATAATGAAGTAATACTTGGTAAATATTTTGCATACTCAGATATGGTAATAGTCATGAGGAAGGCACATGAAAAATAAAATATCAAGTCTGACAGATTTCAAAAACTAGTGGGCCAGGGATTTAGCTCAATGATGTCACTGTCTGCCTCACAAGCACAAGGTCCTGAGTTTGATTCCCCTGTATCAAAAAAAACAGGAAACTTTTGAGTGTCTGAGCAGAGACAGTGAAGAGTGCCTTTCAGTGGAGGGGCTGGGGAATTTGGCTCAGTGGTGCCACCGCTTGCCTCATGAGAACAAGGTCCCAAGTTTGATCCCGGGCACAAAAGTGCCTTGAAGTAGAGAGAGAGAGGTTCACCAAGGCCAGTTAGGTTAGGCTGTAGTATACATGTCATGGGTCAGGTGAGGAAGACAGGTTTGTTAAAAATGCAAATCATGGAAGGGCTTTACATTGAGAGGTGACGTGATCAGACTGCCTTTAAAAAAGCACTCTGGTTTTTCTCTGGGGAACTGGAAAGAGAAGGCAGCACGAAGCTGAGGGCCCACTAAGTCCTGGAGTTGTCCAGGTGAGAGATGATGACTTGGACAGCAGTGGTGGCACAGAGTTGGACAACAAGGAACAGAGTCATTTGAAATATCTTTCGGGGGCAGAATGTATAAAATGTACTGATCAACTGGATGGGAGGCTAAAAGGAATAGAAGTGAGGAAGGCCTTTTTTTTTTCTGACATAACAGCCAGGTGTGCGTGGTGGTGTCCATCGTGAAGATGAGGGAGATTAGGCCTTTCCAGTCAAAGGGAGGGACCTTGGGAGATGTGGGAAATGTGATCAGTAACCATTTACTAATCACACTTACTGTGGTGTGAGTGCTTGCACAGGATATGGAATGCATTATGTACATGTGTCTTAGCAGCTGGGATCACGTCTTAGATACTGAGGTCTGCATTAGGTAGAACCTTGAGGGCTTGAGAGAATGCCGAGAGGCAAATCCCCAGGAAACAGATACTGAATAGTGAAACAAAACAAAAACCTTCCCCATGCATGTTGTAAACAGATTTTAGAGCAAGGAGGAGTACATTATTATTTATGAATTTGATCAGTCTACAACTCAAAGAGCAAGAAATGCTTACTTTTTAAAAATGTAGTTTTATCTGAATTCATATAATAGATCTTGAAATACATATTAGTTTACATACTCTGTCATTTTCCTTAATGAATTTGCCTGTTTTTAGGGTATGCAAAGCGTGATAGCATTTGCCACAGTACTAACTCAAAACCAAGCAATTAAGGGAATAAACCTAAACCGACCTATACTGTATGGCGAACAGGTATGTATTCAAAATGAAAGAAAATGTTAACAATATCTGAATGAAATTAAGGTCCTACCAAAGTTGATGTTTCATGAGTACATTGTATTTTTGGTATTATCCTTATTAGAGCTTATAAACTACTACTTACTTACAAATAAAAACTTTATTTAAAGAAACATTAAGCCGGGCATGGTATCAAAACAAGGGATGTAGCTCAGTGTGAAGACTCTAAGTTCAGTCCCCAGTACTATCAAATATATACCTCATTTAAGATTTTCTAATAAGACCTTTATAACTAAATATGCTTTTAGATATTGCTTATTTAAGCAGCAAACAGTCACTGTCTCCCTTCACATTCGAGTTCTGAGTAAACCTGCAGAGAGCACACATGGTTACAGGGTTAAAGGACAGAGTACAAGAGCTTGCCGTGAACTGTGACTGTTGGCGTTAAGGTAACTGAGACACCTGAGCCCTTACATCTCGGGAGCAAAAGGTGTGCAAAGAGCCGTGTGGGGAGTCTGAACCCGATGCTTCCATAGGTGAGGTGCTGCGGGGCAGGAAAACACACACAGGGGTCCTTCTTTCATGTCTTCTTGATCCTTAACATCCTTCTCAGTGTCTTTCTTCTTCCAGTTGTGAAAAGGGAATAAAACTCATTTTATCATTACTTTAAACCTTGCATGTCCAACTTCCGGCTTGTCTGGACCATACTGAGTGAAGAGAAATTGTATTGGGTCACACATTAAAAAAAATGATATAGCTAATGTATGTAACAAAACCTCTTTTATTTTTAAAGTATATTAAAATAAAATAATGCAAGCCCAAGTTTTAATAATTAAATAAAACTTACATCAGCTTATTAACAATCAATTCCTGTCTTCACAGACACACAACCATAATAGGTTGAAATACTACTATTGGTAACTATTGCATTTTACTCCCTAAGTTTCATGGGTGACTGTAATGTGATACACATGAATTTAAATTCAAATATATGTGCCAGGTAGAGTGGCACATGTAATGCTAGCACTCAGGAGGCTGAGGCAGGAGGATCACCATGAATTCAAGGACAGCTTTGGCTACATACTGAAACCCTATCTCAAAAAACAAACAAATGAACAAACAACAATTTACCTATACCTGGCAAGTTCAAGAGGTAGTTAGTACTGCCCTGTGTCCTCCCTTACACAGCATTCCTTTACTGCCTATAGACTGCACTAGAGCAACACACAACTGAATCATGAAAAATATCACTAAAAAAAAAAAATCACACAATGTTGCTATGTTGGGTAGCATGTTGGACATGCTTGGTCCAAAAATAGATATACAAACCCAGACCTGTCATGTAAAGGTACAAGATCCCAATGATGAATGTAACTGTACTGTATACCTAAAATGTACCAATAAACTCAATGAGAGAAAAAAAAAGAGAAACCCCCCAAAAAGAAAAAAAAGATATACATCATACATACACACACACACGATATATATATATGGTATATATGATATAGATAGTATCTACCTATCCATATGAAAAGCACTTTATATTCCTAAAAAGCAAACTTTAAGCCAAGCATAATGGCACATATATGGAATCCCAGATACTTGGGGGGCTGAGGGAGGAGGATCATAATTTCAAAGCTGGCTTGGTAACTTAGACCTTGTCTCAAAACCAAAAAGTAAAAATAGAACTTTAAAGTTCGATGTGCAAATGTTCATTAAAGTTCAAGGTTCAAATGAACTTTTAGTTTTTGTTGTACTTGAGCTTTTATGAGTACATTTGCAATTCACACCATTTACAATCATCTTGGGGAGTGGTTACATGTACATATCACAGCTTGATTTTTTTCTAATCCCTGTCCTCTTCCCTCCCTCATTCTCCCCGTCCTCCTCTGGTTCCCCTAACATCTTTTTATACCCTCTTGATATTATTTCTCTTAGCACGTCATGGCACATGATGTTTACTTCTGTTGGGGTTATTAGGGTCCTATACATGGTACATGTTTATCCTCATTTCCCCTCCCCTCTCCTCACTCCTCACCCTAGTTCCCTTGGACTACTTCCCTATTGGCTGATATCTCTGCCCCCTTGTCTTTCTGAACTTTAAAAAAAGTTCTAAGTATTTTAATTTAAAATTAACTACCTCATTATTCCTCCTTGGTATAAGAATTAAGAATTAGCCATATCTTATGTATAATTCTTTTATATTTAGAAGTAGATCTTGCGTTCTTTCCTTATGTAGATATCTCCTTTTGAATGATCTCTGCATCTTTTCTATACAAAAAAATTTGGACTGGGGATTTAGCTCAGTGGTTCCATTGCCTGCCTCGCAAGCACAAGGGCTCAAGTTCGATCCCCAGTACAAAAAAAAAAAAAATGGAGTTTTACATCATATTGTTTTGATGTATGTAAATCTAATCTGTCCAATGAGGTACCCAGCATCCTCAAATAACAGAAATGTAACCTAAAAATACCTCAAACACCACCAAAATACTTGTCAGTGAATTGCTTCAGGATTTATTCACTCAACATTTGAATGCTACCCTAAACTAGACAAAATGCTACATGCTAGAGACACAAAATCAAACAAAGCACCAGACCACAGTGTATTAGTCATCTTTCCATTAATGGAATAAAATAGCTGACAAGGAACTTACAGGAGGAAAGCTTTATTTTGGCTCACAGTTCCAGACACCTCAGTCCATGACCAGCCAGCTCCAAGGCAAAACATCATAGTGGAAGGCAGAGCGGAGGAAAGCTGCTCCCCTCCGGTGCCCAGGAGGAGGAAAGCTGCTCCCCTCCGGTGCCCAGGAAGCCCAGAGTGAGCGAATGAAAGAACCAGAGGGCAGACACCCCCTTCAGAGGCATGCCCCAGGGACCTTCCTCGAACTACTAATAGCCCATTCAGGTATGACTCACTGAAAGGGTTAGTACCCTCAACACCCAGTCAGCTCTCTATGCTTACCTAGATCTAATCAAACTGACAATCAAGATTAACCATCACACCCAGCCTTCAAGGGGTTTTCTTTCTTTTTTTTGCTACTGGGGATTGAACTGATTGAACTCAGGGAACTTGCAAGGCAGATGTGGAACCACTGAGCTAAATCCCCCGCCTTTCAAGGAGTGTTCAGTGTAGGTGGTAGGAGATCAACCAGTCTAGAAGGTGATTTGCTTAGGGTGCCTGGGAACATAAGAACTTTGAAATCAAAGCAGGGAGAGGGGAAGCAGCAATGAAACATTTCTGATTGAGGACATGACATAAAGACTAAATTTAAAAAAACTTGTAGATTATATCCCTGAGGAAGTATGTTTAAATATATGAAATCATATTAGAAGCACAGTCCTTCTTTAAGTATTTTGAGTGGAAGCACTAATCCCTAGTCCATCTGAGAATAGACATAAAAAGGCCAGGGTCCTTGTGCCCACCCAGTGCTTGCTCTCAGCCTGGTGATTCTGGTGACCAGCAGCGTTCTAGCCTGTTTTAACTTTCCCAGTGCTGCTACCTCTATCCCTGAGGGCACTGTGAAGTAGAATCTTCTGCCTCCCTATACATTGCTGTTCCCAAATATAAGCTTATAAAACTATTCCATTCAAGGTCTGATGTTCAATTCCACATAGGATCAGAGGATAACAAGATGAAAAAAATAATAGTATGTTGGATTTCATCTCCGTCTGCTCATTGACATTATCTGGGGAGCTTGGAAAGACACAGCAATAGGTGCCACTCTAGACAAATTACACAGAGAACAGGGTTAAAATCCTTTACTGTTTGTGATCATAATTCCCTACCTTAACAAGGATGGTTCCTTTTATAATGCTTTGATTTTGCTAAAAACCTAAAATGGTTGTAATTCAAATCATTAGGGATATGTGCCCTTTGACTAGAAGCTGCTAGATTGCAAAATCAAAAACAAAAACAAAAGCAACAGTCTTCCACTGACCAGAAAACAAAAGTAAAAAAATATTCAGAAATTTTGAACTGAATAAAAAAGGGAGGAAATCCGACATATCGTAGAGTTAGTAAGTACATTTTAAAAATACAATCAAGATTGGGAAGCCAGGCGTGGTGACGCATGCCTGTAATCCCAGCACTCGGGAGGCTGAGACAGGAGGATCGCTGGGAGTTCGAGACCAGCCTGGGCTACATAGTGAGTTCCAGGTCAGTTCCAACTACATAGGGAGACCCTGTCTCCAAAACAAACAAAAAAAAGATTGGGAAATGTCTGTATTTCATCGTACAGCTGTGCAGAGTGGGAAAGGGGGCAAAGTTCTGAAGAAAGGATACAAGGCTTAGACATTCTTCAAAGGAGAGTAGCAGAGGAGCTCACATGCTCAATACAGAGTTCATCTTATTTTTTTTCCCTTTTGAAATGACTATTGTTTCCTTTGTTCTTGTTCTTTGAGACAGGATCTCACTATGTAGTCAGCCTGGCCTTGAACTCAGTATGTAGCCCAAGCTGGTCTCCAACTCAGAACTATTCTCTTGCCTCAGCCTCCCGAGTGCTCGGATTACAGGCACCCACCACCATTTCCAGCTGATTATTGTTTTTGTAAACCAAATTATCCATTTTCTCTGGTATCATTTAACTACTGTACCTTACAAGTGCCTGCTAACTATTTCTAAGAAAGTAGTAGGTATCATTTGGAGCAAAGTATTTTTTTATGTTAGGCCAAATAAATATTATAGGAGACTAATAGTCCTAAACAATATCTTTCTAAAAAGTGAACTCAAATTACAGCATGTATTTGGGATAGACATGGACTGTTACGTTTTAGAAACAAGAAGCTAGGTGTGGTAACGCACACCTGTAATCCCAGCACTTGGGAGTCTGAGGCCATCCTGGGCTACACAGAGTTTGAGGCCAGCCTGAAACACATACCAAGACAATGTCTCAAATAATTTTTTAAAAAATCTTTAAATAAAAAAGAAACAAGATTTTATCTATTTTTAGGAAGAGTCCACAGTCCATCTAGGTCACATGTTGAAAGAAAATCACTGCCTTGTTGAGCTACACATGTGTAAGCATGGTATAAAAAACTGTGGTTTCCATCAGTTATGCAATGCGCTGTATCTGAACAGGAGCCTACGATACCTTGATGTCAGCTGGTGAGTGACAGTTTACATTATTAAATTCAAAAGTCATGAGGACAACTTATTTAAATTTTCACAGTACATGAGATACTTTGTTGTACACTATTTCCAATGATTAGAAAATGCAACCACTGTTGCCAATCTTTTAGCCTAAGCCTTAATAATTATTAGCTAACAGAGCTGTATATTTTGATAACTTGAATGCACATTTTAATTGTTAACCGAAATGGGAGCACTACGTATGACAAATTTTCATTAACTTCCTTGGATACTGAGTGAACTAAAATAGAAAGTACTATTTAATGTTTTCAGATATCTTACTGTGAATAAAAGAATAATACTTTGTATTTTCACATACTACTAAATATTTTTCCTTTCCCAGCAATAAAATAACTTGTGATGGAATGATGTATTTGGCTGATGTACTGAAAACCAATGCCACCCTGGAAGTAATAGATCTTTCTTTTAACAGAATAGAAAATGCAGGTGCAAACTATCTCAGTGAATCTCTTACTTCATACAACAGGAATCTTAAAGCGTTAGTATGGTTTTATATTTAATCAAAATAACAGAAAAAACAAATTTGATTTTATGAAAAAATGGAAATAAAGTATTTGTAAATGGGGAGGGGAGGAGGGGGTGAAAGGAGGTCAGGGACAAGGGGCAAAAATGAGAACCAAGGTCTGTCATGTAAAGGTACAAGATCCCAATGATGAGTGTAACTGTACTGCACTGTATACCTAAAATGTACCAATAAACTCAATTAAAAAATTGATTTTAATTCTAGTTGATTGTTAAAATTCATGACGAAATTCTTTATGGATCTACTGGTGTCCAGAATTATTATCTTCTGTGTTTTTAAAGATTGTCAGTAGTCAGCAACAATATAGAAGGAGAAGGACTTGTTGCACTTTCACAATCAATGAAAACAAATCCTATACTATCTCATATCTACATTTGGGGAAACAAATTTGATGAGGCTACATGTGTGGTAAGTTTATTTTTTCTTCACTGAAGGCTTTTTCTGGGATCTTCTCTATAATATCAGACATTATTTATAAGTGCTTTGGAAATGGTTACAAAGTATAACGAGACATTACACTTTCAATAATTTTTAACAAAAGTCCTAAAAAATTAGTACTATAGTTTCATAGTTGAAGTAACAAAATATATCAAATATAATAGTATAAAGGTTCTTGAATTCTATGGTGTAATTTCTCAAATGCAAACAAACAAAATCACAATTGTTGAGTTGGTGTTGAGTAATTTCCAATCTGCTCTTAAATATATATCAAGATAATTAGAAAGTACAAGCTGTAAAGTTGTTTGGTATATTGATCATATAAATACTGAGAGCTCTTTATAGTAACTTCAAAACAAAGAGTATGGTAACAAGTAGTTTTATTTTACAAAGAATGAAGAAAAAATAGACATTAAAATTTACAAGATTTGCAACAGGACTAAAATTCCACTAGCAACAGGGTAGTCAAATATATATTATGGTCTAAAAAACACTCATAATTTTAGAAAACATTTATATTTTTTAGTGGCTCTACAAACTAGAAGCTGTGTATGCTAATTTTGATAAATAATAAGTTACAGTGCAGAGCAAACTAAACCTTATTTTATTTGGTTTTCTTTTTTTTTTTTTGGATTATTTTGAGACAGAGTCTCACTATGTAGTTGAGACTGATGTGGAACTCACTATGTAGTCCAGGCTGGTCTCGAAATCACAGTGATCCTCCTGCCTCAGCCTCCCGAGTGCTGGGATTACAGGCATGTGCTACCACATCCGGCTAAACCTTAAAATTTTTTAATACCTACATTTCTGACCCTTTGCTTATAACTTCAACTTTACTGACTAACCAATTCCACATGTTTATATCTAACATTATGGCCAGCATCCACTATTATGGAATTGTCTTTCTTAGCATAAATCAGTAGATTAGCTTCAGAGGATTCACAAACTCCAGACAATTTTATGTCCAAATCTGGAGTTCTGCTTCTTTTTCTGACAAATATGTCTTTAGCTATTACCAGATTTTTGAAAACACATAGAACAGCCCTCCTTGCCCAACACACCACCATTTAAGAATACCTTTGGGACTTGAAAATTTTGAGCATGGGAACTTTGGTTCACAAAAACAATAGTATCAAAAATTAACTCAAGGAATCACAAAACAACCAAACATCTTATATATTAAAACTTAGAAATAAGTTTTGCAACATTTTAATTTCATTTTATGTAATTAAATAAATAAAAACCAGTTGGGTGTGATGGTACACGCCTGTAATCCCAGTACTTGGAAGGCTGAGACCAGCCTGAGCTACACAGTTCAAGGCCAGCCTGACTTACACAGCAAGACCTTGTCTCAAAAAACTAAAACAAACAAAAATAATAAAAATCTGCTTACAACATCTAGAAGATAGTAAAATTCAGCAGTTAATAAAAAATGTTAATAGCAAAGCAGCATGGCTAAAATGAGTTTCTGCATTTGTTTAAGCACTGTAAATTGAATATTATATTCTTAATGATACATTTTTTCTTAAAAATCCTAGGCATATTCAGATTTAATTCAAAAGAATCGTCTGAAACCAGAAAATACAGATGTGGAGCCATTTGTGGTAGATGGACATGTGTATCTTGCAGAAGTCTCCAATGGCCTTAAAAAGCATTACTATTGGACACCGACTTATGGAGATGCTTATGGGCATTCAACAAATGCAGGCTTTGCTCTTGTTCCAGTAGGTCAAAATTTATGAAAAACAAGCTATAATCTTCACATACCATCTTACTACTTTTACAGAGGTTAATATTTTATAGCCTTTTTTGTTTTCTTCTTAAATTAGAGCAAGTTGCTTTTAACAAATGTGTAAAGCTTTATATAGCTGTTCATTGTGAAAAACTGTAATGTAACTTTTAAAAGAAATTTTACAATATAAAGATTAAAAACTTGACCCCAAAGAAGCCAAGTAACTACATGGGTTCTTCGTATAATGAAAATATAACCAAGTAGTAAAATAACATAGAACAAATAAAGGTCAGTTGTTATGAAGTGGTACAAAGGCCTCAGGTGGCAAATTCCCAGTGAATGCTGAAGAGTTTCAAAAGTTCAGAAGTTCAAAAAAAAAAGTTCAGAAGTTGAAAAAGTATTCTACATGTCCTATTTAGGTGTTATAGATAGGTAATGATAGCACTTTCCTTTCACAAGTTCATGCAAAAAAACATAAACCTATACGTACCCAATTCCAAAACAAGTCAGTGCTGCCAGCTCCTCCACCCTCCTCAGACAACCATTATCTTGATTTCCAATACTAGTTTTGCAAATTTTTGAACTGTATATAAATGGAATCGTACAGTATATCTTTTTGTATCTCACTTCTTTTGTTCAACATTGTATTAGTGTAATTCATTTGTACTGTTTAATGTAGTAGTCCATTCAGTTTTCACTGCTTTGAAGTATTCATCATATGGTAGTAGAAAAAAAAACGGCCTTTTAAGATAAGACACAATCAAATTAAAGTAAACCTTAGCAACAAAAATTGCTTTCTCAGACTATTGTCTATTGCTGTGTGCTATGAAAGGGACCCACAAGTTCCCATATTCTTGTGTGGGGACAACTGAAGGGGAAAGCTTACCTGAATCTGAAGCGGAAGGGCATGTGGTAAACATGTAACCTGACCCACACTGGACAGCTTGAGACAAAGCTACAGGTGATAAAGCCTCAGAGAATTTTCCACATTTACAAGAACTAAGGTGTGGTTGGGTCAGCCAAGAAGTACAGGCTCTGACTAGGAAAGACCTGATGGCATTATTTATAGCCACTGATACTGCAGCAGAGACCAGTAGGATGCCCAGAAAATGGAAGAGCTCAAGGCCCTGTCTAACTGATTCCATTATGTTATGTGAGCCCTCTCCATACATCTGACACCATTTGAGAGACATCACAAAAGGCAGAAATACACAATTTCCCAAAAGATTAAGCATTACTTTAGATTCCTTAAGATATTATAAATTACATCTGCTTTATAGAAGTAAGTTTCCAATAGCTAAGACTGTAATTTTATCTAAATTTATCACTATGTAAGGGCTCAAGAAAAACATATAAGTTCTGTAGGAAAACTCCATTGCCTCTGCACATCCAAATTACACTGAATATATCTGCAACCATATTATGTAACATTCTTCTACTTTCCTCTTAGCAATCATCTTTTAAGATGCAGCTCAAATATAGCCTATTAAAGTACACTCTCATACATATGTTCATCATTTTGATTCAAATTTGAAAGCAAAACACAGCCCAGTACCACCAAAAGGGGGAAAAAAAGGCGATAAACAATATAGTATATACTTTTAAAATATTTCATGAAATGACTGTTTACCTAACATGTTCTCGTTTTCAAACTATCCATTCACCGTCTTAATATGTACCACTCAAACCATATCCATAAGTGGGCTCCTACTCCCACTGTTATATTGCAAAAGATAATTATGCTTCATTACCCAGCCTAATGTCTTGTTTTAATCTTATTTCCTGTACCATGTGGTCACTAAAAAGCCCCCTTTGTCTTTGAAAAACCTGTGCCACTCTGGCTTATTTTTCTGTCACCACTTTTCATCTTTTTGTCTTTGCTCATCCTTCAAATGCATTTCCCTTAAGGCTTTCTCATCTCTTCTTCCTCTGTGCCACCTCCCAGACTGCCTTAATCACGTCTGTAAATTAGTATTCTTACATGGATAGCTGTAACATCTACATCTCTAGCTTTAACTGCTTCTGGATTTCAGGCATTATTTCCAATCAAGGCCAGACATTTTCACTCATGTATCTCACTCCCGATCAAATGCAGTACAACCAAAAGTATCTTCCCTTTTCTGAACCTGCTCCTTTACCTATCTTACTTTCATAGTTGATGGCATTACCATTTTCTCAGTCACGAAGGATCAAAAACTGTCATCCGGGCATGGTGACACACACCTGTAATCCCAGCACATGGGAGGTTGAGGCAGGAGGATTCTTTCAAGTTTGAAGCCAGCTTGGGCTACACAGTGAATTTGAGGCCAGCCTGGACTACACAGCAAGACGCAATCTTTAAAAAAAAAAAAAATTGTCTACTTTGGGGTTCTCTGACTGCATGGAACAAAAACTGATTTGAGCCATTTAAAAAGGGGGGGACTTGGGGCCGGGGATTTAGCTCAGTGGTTCTAGCACCTGCCTCGCAAGCACAAGGACCTAAGTTCGATCCCCGGTACCAAGAAGGGGGGAGGGCGCTAAAAGCTGAGTGTGGTGACACCGATCTCTTTAGTCTGTAAGAAAGAAATGTCTTCTAAAATGGTTTCTATAACTTGGTCCCCAAATACAGAAAACTGTGATCAAAGAAATCGGTATCAATAAACACATTAACTTTATTACAGGTATAGTTTAAAACTTGAAAACAAATAAGCACAACAATGCATGGCAAAAATAAGAAATAATGTTACAATGATGTTTAACCAGCATTATGGAAACTATGTGAAAATGGCAATTTAAAATCCAGAGATCAGGCAGTAAAATAAATTAATATGTTGAAAAACTGGGATGGGAAGGAGGAGTAGTAGCAAAGATCAGAATACTACTGAATTTTCTACATTCACTTGGAAGAAAAAGGACCACTGTGAAACTATGACAAACAAAAGCTGTGGTTTAATTTATAAAATTTGAAAACACAAACCTTGTAGAAAACTCAAATATAAAATGTTTAATAAACTAGCTTTCTGATAACCCAGAATGTTAATTTATAACTGAAGTTAGTTTCTTTTTTTTGTATGTGTGGTACTGGAGATCAAACCCAGGGCTTCAAACATGCTAAGCAAGTTTTTAACTATATAGTGTATCAAATTTAGAAGCCAAGTGATTTCTAGTATGTATTGAATTTGTATCTAGAAAATTTTTTATAATTTAATATTTATTTTAAAAAGTGCATAATAGGCATAAGAGAGGCTTATCAAAACTTTTCAAAACCTAGTATATATTCCTCACTTCCAATAATCTACAAACCTAATAAAATATAAACTGAATCAAAATTTGAAACTCTTTTGACTAGATAAAAACATCAAGTATCTATTTAAAATTCATTTTGAAAATATAGTCTCAAACCAAAAATACTGACTTCACTGACTTGGTTTTCTCCAGAATGCTGAGTTCTAAATGAACAAAAATGTATTTACAGTTCTCTAGTTTTTAAGAGAAACACTGCTTTTGGTTTCATAAGAAAGGTTACCTCTAATGGAATATATTAAAGTAATAGCACAATTCTTTTTCAGTAACTAATTTTCATAGTATGAATTCTCAGAAATATCAAATTTCATTTTTCACTATAGTTTATGTATTAGTCTACAGTGCTTACAAATAGCATCACTTTGGGCTGATACTATCACGGATGTTGCTTAAATTTAGAGAGGAAGATTTAAAAATTCGCAGGTTAAAAAAGACACACAAATTGATAATTATATTTCAGTAAATGAAGAATTCTAAAATGCAGAATGAAAATGGAATTAAGGCAGTTTTAAAAGAGAATAAAAGTGCCAGGCATAGTGGCGCATGCCTGTAATCCCAGCACTTGGGAGGCTGAGGCAGGAGGATCAGAGTTTGAGGCCAGCCTGAATTACAGAGTGAGACCATCTCAAAAAAACCTAAAAAATTAAAAATTAAAAAAAGAGAATAAAAGTTATCCATCCAAAATAGTGCTTCCATGGTAATAATTCATTCTTAAAAAGCTATGTGTATGTTCTAGAGAGAAAAGCCAAAAATCAAAACAAACATTGCAGCTATGATGCAGCATCTGGTGCTTTTACTTCAGTGAATCAAAGTAATGGTCACAACCCAAGCAAATGGAAATTTAATATGAATATGTGCACCTTACCAAACACATTTATGCTTACTACCAGAGATGTCATAGCAACTCTACATTCCTCACAACGTCAGTATAATTGTTGTAAAAAAATCAACTGTGGTTCTGAATACCCACTCACAGTTGACCTCAACAATGTATCTGATGTAGGAGACTGATTATCTGTGACAGGCAGAAGCATGTGTTGGTCCTCAGTCCCAAGTGGAAGAGCTAGGGGTAGAGTCATATCGGAAGGCTTCACATCTACAGTTTCTGACAAAGGACTTTTTTGTACGCAATCCTGTTCACTCAAAGTATGATCCTCTGCACTGGACTCTAGAATTTTATCTGCACCTGAAAAGGGGAAAAAATTTATACTATCTTTAAAAAAAAAGAAAACAAAATGCTTGAGGTAGACTAATCTACTTATTTTTCCCAGAAATCCCACACCAACCTCCATATCTTTGGGGAAAACTGTTTCTCTTTGATATGCCTGCTTTATTATCTATAAAAACTGAAATTTAGGTCTCAAGATGAGGTTCAAGCATCCACTCCATTATAAAAATGGACTTAGCCACTTTACACCAGAGTGCACTTTTTTATTGTACTTTATTACACATTTGTTAAGTTCAATATAATGTCCTGTACCATTTGTGTCTCTGTTTAACATTCTACTTAGGTATGAATTCTCAACTAGAGTGCAAATTCCTTGAGGGTAAATGTTAACTCCCTCAAAGTACTCAAGAGTGACATAGTAAACTATTTGTTCGCTGAATGTTTTAATAAGTTCATACTATTCTGTTAAGTTCAAGTTCAGATGTATGGCACTTTCACATATTCTCAGAGTTAAAAAATTCTGCTGTACTCAAGGGATCAATTATTGCCGATTAAAGGTA